TCAATAAGCTAGTCCATAGACTGGTCAATAGACTAGTCCAGTCAGTAGACTAGTCAATAAATTAGTCCAGAGACTAATTGGCAGACTAGAGAATAGACTAGTCAACTGACTAGTCCACAGACTAGTTAATATACTAATCACTAAACTAAACTAGTTCATAGACTAGTCAGAAGTACATAGTAGAAATGTAATTAAGTACTTTTAATCCTAAAATTTTTGAACCATTTTAACATTTCAAGTTTCCATGACTGATATGATTTAGTTTTCTTTCTCAATAATCATAACATTATCATGTCACTTTCCCTTCTCTTTGTCATCCTCCTTGCAAACTTTTGTTATGAATACCCTAATATTTTGTTTATTCAGCAAAAGTTATACTACATTGCAAATGAGTTTTTGCCTGACATTTTCAAATTATCATAAAATTGTACGAAAATTTCCAAATTGTTTTAATTTACTTTAACTTTTTTTGCACAAACAACAAAAAAAAAACTCAATTGAAACATTAAGGAAATATAACTACGAAAAGTTGTAAATTAATATTATTTTAAATTTACTTAAAAATTTTGTTTTAAAACTTTTAATTAATATTATTTTAATTTATAACAAACACGTGTTTGAATTTGTGTTGACCATATAGTATTGTGGCAGGCAGCTCAGATCAGCCCCGTTCTCTGGTTTTCTTGCAAATAATTTAGCCAATTGTTGTGAGATATTTATGCAAATTTATTATTGTTGCAGTTAGTAGTAGTAGCAGTAGTTAATAAAGTTTTGTTTTTTTTATGTGATAACAAAATTTAAATATTTAATTTTATGCAAGTTATAATTAAATAATGATATTGCACTTTTATACTCATATAAAATCCATACAATATATTGTCGGGATTGTTATAAAATTTTATATAAAGTTTTCTTTTTAAATGTTTTTCTTGGAAGTATTTAGCAACATTGTAATTGCCATTGTTTAATTAGAACTTATGGTTAAATGTTTAACCTTTATAGTAATATAAGTAGTTTAATTAAATATCGATTTTTATTGAAAAAGAAATCATTGTTATTTATGGGTGGTTTAAATTGTAGCTATTACAGTGTTGGCTAAAAGTAATGTAACAAGAAAGAAGTTTTAGATGTTAAATATTATTTTCACAATGTAATTACTCAATTTTAAGAAATGTTTTATTTTTGCTAAAATTCTTTATTTAGGGGACAATTATGACCCCAAAAACATCTTAGGTTTAATTATGAATTTGTTGAAAATAATATTATTTAATATTTTATGAGTAAACAATCCAAATAAAGTTAAAGTTCAACATAATAAAATTCAAATCTTACTAACAACAACAAAACGCTCTAAATTTTTTGCATAATAAATCTTTAATATTTTGTTCACATTTAAAAAAATATTATACATAAATAAATTTAAAAAACAAACGAAAAATATTTCTGCACTCATAAATTAAGCAAAATTTAACAATTAATTATAAAAAAAAGTGAAACCAAAAAAATTAAAAAAAATTTTTGAAAACCCCAACAGTTAAGAATTTTGATTTGGTTGACTGCTTTACAGTCACTATACAGTCACTGAGAATTTATTACAAGATTTCAGATAAAATATAATAAATTTGTATTTATTTTCTTTTTTTGGAAATATAAATATTATTATATTATGTTTAAACATTTAAATTTAATTTTTTTTGTTGGTTTTGGTAAACAGAGTATTTAAATTTTGTTGTTAATCTTTTTCAGGTTGAATAACATTTTAATGCTTTGGGTTGAACTAATTGGTCAATAATTACTGAGTATTTAGTATACAAATTTTATTTTAATCAAGATTTTTTTGTAACTGCTATTATTGCTATTGCCCTGCTATTAACGGGCGGCTGGGGATTGTTCGATGACTGTTTTAAACTAAGGTTTTAACAGGCAGTTAATTAAAATAATTAAATCGTTAGATAGAATATATGAAATTTTTGCAAAGTTTAATAGATTTTTTTTGGTGGGATTATATTTAGTTAACCGTATATATTTAGGTTCAAAAAGTTTTTTAAAGTTAATTAAAAATGTTTTATTTTTAGCTTAAAATATTTCTATTCGTAAATATGAATTAAGTCACACTTGATAGAATTTATAGTCTAATTGGATCAAATCGTAATTTTGGAAAATTACGTTAAATGGTGTAAAATTGGTTTAATTTTAGATTTTGAAAAAATTCCAGTGAGAAATAGTTTTAAAAGTGTTAGAGTAATTTATAAATCCCACCAAAATTAAGAGTATATGATAACATGAGGAGTAAATTGCTGAAAAATTTAACTTTTTTTAAAAATTTCTCAAACCTGCAAAGCAAAGTATAACTATTCAAATCTGGCATCAAATAATTTCAAATTATAAAAAACTTTTAAATCTTTTGTTAAACAAATTTGTAAAATTTGGATCAGGTTTTCAAAGTTTTTATTTAGAACACACGAGAGAATAAGCTTCAAAAAGAATTACATCAATAACTCTCAAAGATTTGCTGTGCCATCGATTTGAAGTTTAAAGGATTTCGGGAACTTAATTTTGGATAATAATTGAGTCCATATTACATAATTTTTCATATTTTACTAAGTTTAGTAAATACAAATACAAAATAGAATACCCAAAACTTCAGAAAATGTTTACTTAAAATAATATTGATACCGGAAAACCTTAACCCTTTCATAAGTGAGGTCAAAGGTCATAGTTTTAAAATTCAAATATTTTAGTTTTTTATTAAAATTCTATGAAATGTTATGTATTTTTAAGGGGATTTTGTTAAAACTTCTAAAAATGTATCAAATTAACCCCTTTTGAACCTTTAGAACAATACTGAACCAAACAATCTTGAAAATATACAATTTTGTCAAATTTTTCAATATTTTCCAGCGTTTGAAAATCTTTGTAACTAAAATTTAGTTTCAAGTTAAACGAAATGTTAAATTTTAGTCCATTCATAATTAGGTCCAATAGATTGGAAGTTTCATCAATATACATTTAAAATTTATTAAGATCTGAAACTTTGTTTATGAAAATATTAAAAATTTTCCTTTTAATTTGATGAAATAGGCTGCTAGGCCTGGACCGAATCGGTATATTCGATTCAAGTGAATTATTCTATTGAAATTACAGACTAAGTAAAACGAAATACGATTAAAGTAACTAAATTATTTTGTATATGAATAAACAGCTAGTAGGTCAGGGTGATAAAATGATATATCCGAAGAAATATACCTAGACCCCTATCGGGCCTGTTGTACGCTTCTTTTCATAGAAAATGTTTGTTGATAAAAAAACGAAAACCTTATATAGTATTCACTGAATGTATTACCGTTCGATGTTCAGAAATTCAGTTTCCTGAAGGTAATTCCTAAGAATTTTCCAATCAGTATCCCTGAGGAATGATTTGGATCCAAATTTCTACAGAGTCTGACAATGGCAAAGAAAGAGCTCCAGAGTTTCATTGTCCTAACCTAACAGTTAGTAAATAGAATTATAAAGTTGGTTGCTGTTACAGAAATCGGTAATCGCAATGAATCTGTTATGCAAATTGTTCCAGTTCCCTGAAAGTAATTCCTAACAAATTTCCAATCAGTGTCCATGAGGGACGTTATATCCGGAATAATATCACTCCGAAGATATTTGGATCTAATTTCTACAAAGTCTGACAATGACAAAGAACGTGCTCTAGAGTTTCATTGTCTTAACCTAACAGTTAGTAAATGGAATCATAAAATTGGTTGCTGTAACAGAAATTAATAAATCTGTTCTGCAAAATGTTTTGAACAAATCTATTGTAAGTACATTTTAAAATGTTATTGAATTCAAATTAGAAGGGAATCTTTTTTCGATATTTTGAGAGAGTTTCCAAACAAATTTCATTATATACCTTCTTTGGTCCAACTCTCAACCGTCGGATTTTTAAAACTTTACTCATGAATATAAAAATTGCTCCAAATTTTCGATTTCTTTTTGAATTTTTATTTGTAGGGTAAAAAATAAACGAAAAGGGAAATCTGTTCCAAATATTTAACCAAAAAATTAAAAAGAAAATTGCCCCTTGGTTGGATTTACAGATTAATCATAAAATTCAAACCTAAGAAAAATTTATTTAAGCAGTTTTTTAAATTTCAAATTAGGAAAATGTACTTAATAAACTGGAATAAAAAGTACTAAAATGTACTAAAAAGGTACCTAATGAAGTTGAAACCCACTCAAATCGGTTTTAGTCAAAAATTTTCTTACTTCTCTATAGAAATCTGTAACAGATCCACTTGTTGGTAAAGTTTTTAAAATGGTTTGATCCTTAGTAGTGTTAAATCTTGTCTAGATTGTCTGTCGGTATTTGTTGTTATACAATTTCTTTTCATTCGTTATTTAATAGGAAATTATAAAGTATGCGATCAACATTCTAGTGATAAAATCGTTTTAAAATCTTTGGACTACCTATGATATTGTTATATTTCAGCAAAGATTATTATTATCTGATGATGATCCATTTAGAATACTTCAAACTTAAGGTAAGATTTTAATAAACAGCTGTTGTTTTTTGAAAATTTAGTTCAAGAGGTGTGGTGATCTTAATCTAAATAATTATAATCCCTCTAAAAGGGTTGTGACCATTTCTTAAGATTAAGGGGATTATTATGAGTTTGTGGGTTTGAAAAGAGGTAAACTAGAGAAATATTTGTTTTAAATAAAGGGATTTATATAAAAAATTTGGCACATTTTGTTATAATTACCGAAAAAATACTTCTTGATTGATTTTGAATGTGAAAAGGGGTTTAAACCTTTTCTGTTAGTACCTGCTTATTTAATAACATATTTATTTTAAAAATTTCGACTGTTTGCAAGCAAAATTTTAGAATTTTTTTTCAAAATAAAATTTTTCAATATTTTTTTTTTTACAAATTACCGACGGCAAATTATCGTCAGTGAGTTTTGCCTTGTCTTCTAATGTTTCATTTAAATTGATAATAGATACTCACTTATAACATCATGTCCGTGACAATCTAAATCCAGGTGATGATTCATCACCAGCGACGGTTGTAATCCAGTTTGATTGTGATTGTGCAAGGGAAGCTGGTGAGCCAAATGGCCACCAATCTCTGCCATTACCATATATTATGTTTAAAACAGGCGTTTTGTAACAAAAATTTTCAAAATTTATTCTCGACAATTTTTATGGTTTTTTCTTTTAACTTTTTTTTTTTCAAAGTTAAAAATTTAATTTTTAAGTAAAAAAAAATATCCGTTATTGACTGCTTTCGGGTTATTAATTTAAATAAACTTTTCTTTATTTTAAAAACAGGAATTATTTTTTTATTGATATTATCTTTTGTGTGTGTGTGTTTTTTTTTTTGTAATTTTGAGCAATTTGTATGTGTATTAAATTTTTTTGCTTTTGTTATTGATTTTTCTTTTTTTTTTAATGAATTTTTAAGGCACTAAATATATATTTTTTTATATATTTTATGATTATTAATATTTTATTATTATTTGTTTAACGATGTTGTTTTTCTTTTGTTAATTTTTCAACTTTAGTAGTTTGGTTTTTTTTATTATTATTATGTATTTTAATTTATATTCAGCTGTCACTTGTTTTGAAAATATTTTATTATTTATTAGAAACACGCGTTTTTTTTTCTTTAAAAATTTGCAATAATTTTTATAAAAAGTAACAAAAACAACAAAATAATAATAAAAAAAATATAAAATTTTCTTTTGTGACGTCGCTTGTTTGAAAATAGTATTGAAACGCGCGGTTACACGGTTTTGGTTTTATTATTTACGGTGTATACGGACAACCAGGGTTGTATTTTTTTGACTGACATTTAGCAACAGCGTCTACTGTTAACGAAGTAACGTTAGCGCAGCAAAGTCTCACGTACAACTAAACCGGCCTTATGCTCTGCCCAGTGCTGTGTGTGTTGAAAACCAGCACCTCTGGTTTTGCTTTTCCTCTTCCGCTTTGTCCTCTTCTTCTAGCGAGAGTATAGAACTTTGTTGTTGTGTTTAATACGCGTGTGGTGTTGTGAGGCAGTCAAACAACTGTGGCCAACATGTGTGTGTGTGTGTTTGTTTAAAACCACCCTCTTTTTTCGAACTTAATTTTATTACTGTCTCCCTCTTGTTTGCTTTCGTTCCTTAGCAACACCTAAGAGTGAGTAGTACCAAGAGATTTTACTTCAATAAGTTTTTCTTGTTCTTATTTCATTTTCGAAAGGGGAAGCAAGAGCAGGGTGTTTGTTTTGAGTTTTATGTTCGAATTTTCCTCACAAACAGGTGTTGTTTCGTGTTTTATACTCCATCTATCTCTTTCTTTTCCATTGGTATTGATCTCATTTGAAGTAAAACGCATTTTAATGTGCACTTGCTGTTTGGCCTGCATTTGTTGTTCTCTTTTTCGTAACTTGGTATTATTTCCGTTTAGAGATTTTTTGTGGAATTTTTTTTGTAAATGGCGTCTTAACGGACCAATCGTCTCAGTTAATAGAGCATGCGCCTACTTTTATGGAGTCTTTCGTATTGTTTTGCATTCTCTGTGTATTTTCTGCGTTTAGCGTTTCTTTTGTTGTGTCTATCTGTCTGTCTGTCTAAATTTTTGTGTGTGCCCCACCTTCCAATTAGAGTTTATCAAGAGTTTCCTTTTGGTTCTACTGTTGTTGTTGCTGTTTTCTTAATTTTCGAATAGTTGTGTAGAGTTTGCCTAGAAAAAACTTTGTAACGATTTTAGTTTTTTTGAATTACTCTTCGAAAGTTGGTTTATTAACGCTCAGTTTAGTGGAATTTAAAGATTTTTGTTGAATTTAAAATATTGTCTTCTTTTTCAATTTGTGCCTCAAAAAAAGCTTTAAATTGCTGCTGTTTGGAGTTTTTAAACGTTTTGAGAAAACTTGTGTTTGAGAAAACAAAAAATAACAAAACTTAACTCCCCTTGGGGATCCAAATGCTGAAATCTAACCCTAGACTATGCTTTGCTTGGAGTATATAGTTTTGTTTTTTTTTTTTGTTCCACTCCAACATCTTTGGTTTTTGTTTTTGATTATTTTCTCCATTTTGCAAATTTACAAAATGGTTGCACTTGTTCCTGTTTTTACGTATACACACACAAACTTACTCCAACAATTTGCAAATGTCTGCACCCAACATAAACAAAAGGCAAAGAATAATAATGAAAAAAAAAGAAGAAAAAGCAACAAAGTTGTCTTAAATTTGCATGTTGCCACCAAATTGTGGGTTGTTCTTTTGTTGTTGTTGTTGTTGTTGTCGCTGTTGATTTGTAAGCCTAGGAGTTGAGTTTAGTTGCTGCTATTGTTGTTTATTCTTCAAACAAGTGTTGCTGTTGCATTTAACGCTACATTGCTTTCCATTGTTGTTGCTGTTCTGCTCTACAAGGACTCCATTTGCTGCCACCTTTTCACACACCTACACTTCCACAGCAATTGTTCGCATTATACTGCTTGCTTGCAACATTATACGTACAAATGCAATTCTCAACATCTTTTATAATTATTGATCTTTTGATTTTGGTCCTGTTTGTTTGACTATATGTCTATCTGTCTGTCCGTCCTTATGTCTGACTGCCTATAACAGGGCCTGCGGTAGTTGTTGTTTATTGTCGTTGCTCTTGTCGTACGCTTTTGTTTAAATTTTTAATGAATATTTGTTTCTGTTTCTGTATCTGCGTATGTGTATTCTTTTGTTAAATGAGCTCCAATATGTAGTATGGTGGGGAACTATTGTTACCACTCAGCTGTACATACATAGTCATACATTCTACATGTATCCATTTCAATGGATATTGGGTTTGCGTATGTACAAATGTTGTTTGTTGTAAAATACAATAAATCATGACACAGTGCACAGTGGGAGAATTTGGAAAATAGTTTAAAAGCTTTATTTTTTTCATAATTGGCCGATTAAGAAAACTAGAGTGATCAATCCAAGGATCAAAGCCAATGTCATTAAAGATCCAGTAATTTGAAGTGGAGTGCATGGTATCACATATTACAATGCATTCAAAATACCAAGATATTCGACTACTAGTCTTTTCAAAACTTGATCCGTGAAAGTAGAGCAATCTCGATAAAATTTTACAAGAACAAAGCCAATAAGTAACAACTGAAACAAATGTTTGAAGATGATCCAAGCACCCATTAACTGTCCCTCTCCGAATTAGAATCTGATGCTCATATTAATCTTAATGTATAACAATACATTTCACCATCAATTGAATAAAACAGAACATCGTGGAAATAAAACCATATAATACTTAGTAGTGCCAATTTTTGGTGAGATAGTAGTATAGTTGACGTAGTTATGAGTTAAAAACCCTAAATCGGAAGGTTTGGTTGTATGGGGACTAGGTGAAATAATGAACCGATTTTAAACATTTTCAATAGACATAGTCCTTGTGCCGAAAAACACATATGGTCAAAATATCTTGAAAATTGTGGCCTGTAGGACGAACGGACATGTCTTAATCGACTCAGAAAGTGATTCTGAGTCGATCGGTGTACTTTAAGGTGGGTGTAAGACCAATATTTTTGTGCGTTACAAACATCAGTACAAACGTATAATACCCTCCCCACTATAGTGGTGTAGGGTAAAAATATTTCAAAAGGTTGTTATTTTAATGCCGATACAACTGCTTAACTGTCAATCATACTGTCATACTGAGCAAACTTTTTGACATTTATGATCATTTCTAATGTTCCTCGTTCAAAACTAGAGGGTTCCAGCTCTAACGGTTTACCAGATATACAAATTCTGGTATTTAATACATATGGTTTCCGTCAATTTATTAACCAAATGTTCTCATGGATGTTAAGGTTGTTCATGCAACATTTGAGGAATCAAGCTCTAATAGTTGTCCAGTTATACGAATTTGTCCATTTAATTCATATGGAGGTGCCACGCAACCTATTAATAATTCGTCCAAATTATTCCTAAAAGTTCATATGGATTTCAAGGTTGTTCGTGCAAAATTTTATTATTCTAGCTTTAATAGTTACTTAGATATACGATTTTTGTATTTTATATAGGATGTGCCACGCCCCCTGTTGCTTGTTAGTCCATTTATATCTTATAAATGTTCAAATTGATACTAAAGCTGCTCAATCGATACTAAATTTGAGTTCTCTGTTTTATTTTTTCTTATTAAATATTTTTTTATGTAGGAGGTGTCCGCCCACTATAGCTAGTCCGTACATTTTGCCGCCAAATGTTAACATAGATATTACAATTCTCCATATTATATTTGAGAACTCTCTCTGATCCGATATTTTATCGCATCCCATCTATAAGGCATATTTTTGGCTTAAAGGGGTTGTTAAAAAAGGCAACTGCAGCATATGGATTGACACCAGACAATCAGAGATCATACGGACTCCATTACATCCAGAAAAATGGGTGCTATTTGTACACTTGTGGCATTATCGGACATTATTTCTTCAAAAATGAAGCCAGAGATCGCGTTAGGGTTAATGGAGATCGTTACCGGACCATGATCAATGGCTATTTTGTTAAAAAATATGGATGACATTGATGGCTCTACGTGCCAACAGGCGAACGCAAAGATCGATTTATTGAAACTGATAACTTGATTATTGATAATTTGATTTAAGAAACGGATCTGTCAATTGGCCTCAAAGTTCGAGCTATTTGACACCTATCAATTATTTCCTGTAAGACGACTTAAAGTCACTGTTGTATGCTAATAAATTAACAAAAATTGACGCTTTTCGAGGCCAACATTGTACGTATTATTAAGTACGTATGTACGTATTATCCATTAATGCTCCAAAAAGTGGAACAAAATTAAACGTCCAGAAGAGTTTTTATGCAGAGAGTTCTGAACTTAAGACACTGTGCAACCAATACGCCATTTTACTTCAGTTGCTAGAATTCTTATTCGTCTCTAAAAGTTAAAAAAATATATTTTTAAATATTTAACTTAAAGTTTTTTTTTCGACCTAAATTATATATAAAAGCATTAACAATGAGGTTTTGCTGTGTGACTATTTTAACAGTTCATTGACTTCCGTTTTCAAGTGATTTTGGTTTTCTCCTCTAAATTCATATTCTCACTCTATCTCTTTCCTATACACTTTAGCAATGATTCCTCTTAAGTACTATATATTCTGTAAACTTTCTACTTCCCTTTTAGTACTTAGTAATGTTAATAATGATGATTTGTAGACCGAAAAGAATATTGTGCTCAACGTCACTTTGTTAAATTTG